AATCTTTCTCTTAATAGCCTTAGGAGCTAAAATCAAAGATACTGATGGAACGTTTACAGTGCAGTTAGCATTTCAGCAGTCCTGACTGAGTGTTACGTAAGAACCGCATACCAAGCACATCACAACTTACAATTAAAGCTATCCGTGCCTTACCTGCTGCAACTGTAGACAGAAACGCTGGTTAGCAAGGAGTCTAGAATTTCGCCAGAACAAGGCCATGGTAGTAGATAATCAACCCCCTGCTACCAAAATAATAATGAATGACTAAAAGCGTGTACCAGATACTTGCTTTAAGCGCACTCATTTAACATATAGTGCATCCACATGGTCAGCGGAATGAACCAACCACCATTCGAGAATTACGCGAGAGTTGTGAAAGAGTCTCAACAAGGAATTCAAAACATTGTCTTTTCAGCGTAGAAAATCTATACATGTATGTAGCCCCTATTCAGAAAAATTGAAGAGAGAACGTTGCTATGGAGTTAAGCAGTGTAGCGATCGAAGGGCTCAATCTTTGCGGAGATTCGTCGCGTGTTGGGGATCGTAGTTTTCGAAACTTGGTTCCAATTACCTTAGATATTCTGGTGAAGAAACAGGACGAAGATGCCCTTAAAAGTAAGTTTAACGATCAGTTAACCCCGTACTTTATTGTGCATGCAATTCTTGGATAAAAAAAAGCAGAGGCAAAGCAACGGATTACCTTTGGGATTACGGCTTTGTTTTTGAATGTTATGGGGTTATACGGAAATCTCTCCAAATGCCGTTTCAATCCATAATTGGCCTCTTAAAGTACATAAACTCACTCTAAAATACAACTACGAGAGATAAACGTGGAGTAAATGTATTTGTGAGCTTGTTTCTAGTTTTATTTAATTAGTTCCATTTAAAGTGATTGTTCAGTAGGGACAGAAGACATTAGAAACATGCCACTGTGACTCAGTAAAAGGTGTCGAGGACTACTTAATAGAGGTGACTGCCCAATAGAAGGGAAAATTACAGAGGATAGAACTTCAGGCCCAATAGAAGGGAAAATTACAGAGGATAGAACTTCAGGCCCAATAGAAGGGAAAATTACAGAGGATAGAACTTCAGGACTTTGACAACTGACCACTTTATACAGGTGGCTGCTTGATGCAGTGCCCCTTAAATACAGGTTCAACTTTACCCTGTTTTAAATTAATATCTTGTTGAAAACCGAATAAAATGTTTAGATTTGCTAACCAAGTCCATTTTTCTATAGGGTGTTTCCTTAAATCTCTGCCATTCTGTGTGAAATTGTTTGAAATTTTCAACTCTGAGGAGGGTAGGAAATGTTGGTTAGTAACCCACCTACCCCACGCATTTTGGAAAGAGGAATCAAACCCAAAGCTTAATAGAAGGACTTAAATAGTTTGGCACATGACACTACTTGGTATTGGTATCAGTGTTAATTGTAACAAGGCTTATCATTAACTAGCAGAAAATCTTGTTTTCTTTCTGCAGGGGATGAAGACATTTCTAGTGTTGATTCAGCAACCCTAAAGCAAGTATATGCTGGCTTAGTGACGATGATATTAGAGGCTATCAAGATGGATTGTGATTCATCTTCTTTAAGGTTGATATGAACTTTTTGAAACGCATAGAGAATAGTTCATAGGCAGGCATAGATATGGAATTTCTCCTTGAGTTGAACTCTTGAAGAGAAATTCCACTTCTAGAAGCATGCATCTTGTATTATATTGTGTATTATAGAAACATTATCTTAGGCCTAATAATTGACTTTAAAAAAGTCTACTCTATTAATGATTAAGTGAAGCAAAAGGTAGGTGATGTGACTCAGCAGCTGATTGGCAACATCAAATCACACCTGAAAAATTATTGTATTGTTGTTCTATAGGTGTGTTGTTATGGCTTTTTCTTAGGGCTCAAAATCCTTTTACAACCATGCGATGCCTTGATTAGATGACAGCTGAGAGTAGAGAGGGGTGCTTGTTGAATCATTTTTATATTTTTTTCCATCATGAATATGCATTTTTTGAGTAGATGAACATTGTAAATGCAGTATTTTGATGATTTTTTAACCATTGCATTTCTGAATATAAATTACTGTGTACCTGTAAGAAGGACTTGACACTAACTTTTCAACTTACTCGCCAGGTGGCTAATGACAACTTAGATGTTACCATAATTTCCATTTTGTTTACCAGCCAAACTGGCATCGAAAAAACCATTAGCCAAAACTGAATTTCTACTAGTCTGTGGCTAGTTGGCTGTCATTAGTGGAGAGTCCTGTGTGAGTAATTGAAATTGCATGAAGAGATTTGAAAACTCAAAGAAAAGAGTGTTTATACAGGGCTTGACACTAATGGTAGCCAACTAGCCACAGACTAGTAGAAATTCAGTTTTGGCAAGTGATTTTCGATTTCCACCAGCCAGTTTGGCTAGTAAACAAACTGAAATTATGGTAAAATCTATGTTATCACTAGCCTCTTGGCTACTAAGTTGAAAAGTTAATGTCAAGCCCTGTTATATACTTTCTTATCCTTTGATAATACTTACAAAGGAGCTTGATTATGTTGCAGTTCTGTGTTGGAGGACTGCAAATGGGGCACTGACAGAATAGAGTATTTTACCAAACAATTCTTGGTATGTAACAAAAAAGAAACACCAGACCCATGATTCATGATAACAAAAAATACATACTTAGTTAGGATGCCAGGTTAAAATGATTTCTTAAATATTTTTGTTGCCTGCCTTCTGCCTTATAATAGATTTAAAAAAATGTGCTGAAAATGGGTTTGAAGTTTGCTCGTGGCTTTTGGATCCTTTTGATGTTAATTTTCTTGTGAGATCTATTTTTAAACTTCTTAACCCTTTAACTCCCAGAAGTGACTAACATGCAATTTCTCCTTGCAACCCCAATCAGACATCTTGTAAACAAGTTATGAGAACAGAAAAGTTTATCAGTTAGAGAGTGATATTTTGGAATAAAATCAAATTCTCAAGTGTCATTTACAAGATAATTTGGATATATCAACAAAGTTGAAATGATAAATTGGCCACCGTAACGATTACAAAAGCTGACATTTCGAGCATTAGCCCTTCATCGGAGCGAATTCGCTCTGACGAAGGGCTAACGCTCGAAACGTCAGCTTTTGTAATTGTTACGGTGGCCAATTTACCATTTCAACTTTGTTGATATATCCAAATTATTTCGTTACATCCACCGACGCAGCCCCAAACAGTTTCTTTAGAAACTATCAACCTTTTGTCATTTACAAGGAAAAGTATGGCAGCATGTAGGAAGAATTACTAATTAATAGGATTTTGGAAGTTCAAGCAGCTTTTTTCTTAAGTCTAATCATTTAGAAAGTTTGAAGTCAAAAAAAGTAATAAGAAAATTTCAGGGTTACTTTAGGAAAGAGAATCTGTCACATCGCATGCAAGAAATCGTAAGATACGCAGGCATCAAACATTTATCAAACATGGCGGATAGCCATTTAGTACCGCACCTCCTGATCTCAATGTAAATCCGCTGGTTGGATTATGCTGATTTTCTTGAGCGTGTTTTCACTGGAAAATTAATTACTCGTGAACTGAGGCCGGGATTCCAGGATTTTTGGCTTGTTTTGTGTGTTTTAGTTTTTCGCAGGAAATTGACAACACAATCAACAGTTGGTTCATAGAGAAAAACGAATGTCAGGTTTCAGGTTTTTTTAATGTTCTCAATTGTTCATAGTCGCCAAAGTGTCGACTAAACTCGAGTTTTAAGTCACCAAGTTAAAAGTTTTAGTCGCATTGGCGACTGTATCGGTCGCAATTTCGAGCCCTGTTATAGTGTACAAAATTTGAAGTGTTCAAGTAGAAATATCTTCATATTGAGGATGATAGATTTATACTGTAATTTACTGTCTCTCTTGTTGATATTTCACCTTTTTAGGATTATAAACCTAATTTGGAAGCGCTTCTTGCCAGGTAAATAGTTTAGTTTTCTTCATTGGGTAGCTCTGTTTGTTTTAGTGCTAATTAATAAATTAATCAATAACTAATATATTAGATAGGTTTTATGCTGTCATATAAAGTGAAAATTAAACCTGGAATGTTAAAAGAAAGATTTGCCATGAATTGTTGACTTCCAAGTATTTGATTCTGATGAATGATTACATTTTAAATGGGTTTTTTTTATGTTTTGCTCCTAATTTTAGAACAGGAAGTTCATTTCCTCATGTTGTGGATGTGGATTGGAGACTAGACTATTACATAAAGGTGATTAAAACTTACCCAGCTCTTTTGAAAAAAAAAAATTAAGAGAAATTTAGAAGAAATTTCGTGATACTTAGGCTTTGAAACATCAGATGACCTTTTTCACCCCATGGTAACTGAGTTTCCAAAGAGTCTTTTATGTCTAAAAATTGAAAAAGTGTAGTCAGGAGATGTCATGAGTTTTATAGAAATTGGTTGCCTCTGACTGTTGTTATTTCTGAAACAGATGTTTCGGCTAATGTTTAAGCCTTCATCAGTGATATGTTGTTATTTCTGATACTGTTGTCATTTCTGAAACTGACGTTTCGGCTAATGCTTAAGCCTTCATCAGTGATATGTTGTTATTTCTGATACTGTTGTTATTTCTGAAACAGATGTTTCGGCTAATGCTTAAGCCTTCATCAGTGATATGATATCACTGATGAAGGCTTAAGCATTAGCCAAAACGTCTGTTTCAGAAATAACAACAGTCAGAGGCAACCAATTTCTATAAAACTCAGTCCTTTAGGTCCACCCTGTGTTCATGGTTAGTTTAAAGCTCAGGACCTCTTGACTGCAATTAAGATGCTATAACTTCTTAGTCATGTTCCCTATGTTAACGTGGCAAACAAAACTTTTTTTTTGTTTCTGAGTTTCTTCCTTACACGAAACTTGTTTTTCTTCCATTTATTAGAATAATCAAATGGAGAAAGTAAACAAACCCACATATCTCATCACACTAAAAACTGAGGTACAGTACATGTGCAGTTTGTGGAATTTCTGCATTTTTAATGTTAGTTTCCCTGTTTCCACTTAAACTTCTATGGTCAGTTGTACCAATTTGTCTGGTTTCTTCAACAGAATCTTTCCGTAATAGCCTCCTTTGATGTGTAATTCTTGAGAATCACATAATTGCACTCAGAAAAATGTGAAAAATTTAATTTAATTTAATTAACTTTGTTTTGTCATGGACACGTCATTATGGTGTCTTCTTGAATTATTTTATTATTCCACCATCATTCCTTGAAATATCCCCAAATATTGTTGAGAACTTGGTTGATCTCTTTCTCGTCCCAGGAAGCAGGAAAGGCTAAAGGAGAGGATGTACAATTTTCATGCACAATGGAGCAATTGCAGGTTAATGAACGTTTAGTTCTGTTAAAGTTTTGTTACTACGCAAACCTTTAATTCGATTTTTGTAGAGTGTCTGTAGAGGGGTAGAAATCTATTCTTCAGATCATTTGGTTTTATCAATTCGTTGATAATGTAAATTGGCTACCGTAAGGAGTTTATAAAGCTGAGTTTTAGAACGTCAGCCTTTCGTCATTCGCTCTGACGATTAGTGCTCACTCGGTTGATAAATTCAAATTATCTGAAAATACCCTCACCGATGCAGCACCACTTTTTTTTTTTTTTTTTTTTTTTTCAAAAACTTACCCCTTTTTTTCTTCAGATACCCGTGCATGTGATTATGATCTTTTAATTTTCTAATTTTTTTCTTTTTGTGGTAGGATCTGGTCGGGAAACTGAAAGATGCTTGCAAAAGTGTAGAGAAGGCCTCTAATAACTGATGTTCAGTCCCAAACCTTAGGAAGATTTAGCAAACAAAGACATATATTTTTATGATTAAATTAAATGTGTATTCATTAATCCCTTATTTGTTAAGGAGACTTAACACATACTGTGCTGCATTGACAAATAGTGCAAATAAAGAGATTTCGTAGCACCTTTTGGCCACAGTCAATGTGAAAAAGATGGTATATAAAACTTACCCTTTTCTGCATTTTGTTAAGCAATGAACATAATCAAATACGTTCATTTTGTAGTATTCGTCAACGACGAATAAAACTGATGTAAAAAAACCGGTTGTGTGTCCGCCTTTTCATCTCAACACTATGTTCATATTCTCCGGACTGTTCTTCTCATTGTACAAATGGGGAGAATTTGTTCGACAATCAGAGGCTTGTGGAAGTTTTGAACAATTCCTCCATTTTCATGACCATGATATTTGACTCAAGGATGATATTGTAAAGAGGAAATAGATGCAAATCACCTGTAGGTGTCAGAGGGTAAGCAGACCATGTTTGCGTTGTCAGTTTGTTTGTCTGAGAGGTAGTGTCAAGATAAGTCATTTCGCGTACCTCGCTGTGCAAAACTGATTGGAACAAACTGGTCTGATCATAGAAAATGTTCGAAGCCGACTTTTTGGAACTAGTCACTCAGTTTCCCCCGGCGATGCAGATCGATGGCGCACGACCTGCATGAATCAGCAGTGCTCCTGCGATCTGTCCTTCGTGCAGCACTTAAGTTTGTCGCTTTCAGTCCTTTTCCAACCTCTTAGACTCAGAGCGCTTCTCGGCGGTTGAGTGCCATCGTAAAATCAAAGTACAATGCATAATCAGGAAGGCTTAAATATTTTTTATTCCTTAAATGTGTATTTAACAGGTCCAGTATGCGGCTTTGTGACAGCTATACCATTACTGGTCCCTCACGAGGAGCAATTGCCTTAGTGGGTCTCAGCTTCGTAAAGCGGCTAAAAAATTTATCCATTAGGCGTGGAAATAGACAAATTTTAACCGTTTGTATTAAAAGAAGTTAACTGTGAAAATTTTTATTGTGACTACAAAGGAAAGATATGAACCAATGGCCGGAAATTGGCCAAAGTTTTACATGTTAGCCGTAAAAGCCATCACCCCGTTGAGATCCTGCTTTGAGGGAACTGGCCCTAGTAAGGAGTCACGTGGTTTACGTAATTTGCATAATAGACAACGTGAACTAACTCTTTTGACGGAATATGCGAGTCGCAGTACCACCAAAATCAAGAGGTAATTCGCCATTTTAATCCTCTCATTTAAACTCGATTTGTTCTTGTTCGTTAGGTAATATATCCGTGTTGCTACGGTCGGCAAATGTTTGAGAATTTACTGATAATTTCTTTTGGTATCGCTTCGAGTGAAACACCTTTCTAATGAATGCTAAGCGTACATTGGAGGGTAATTTTGTCACAGAACGTGACCATTTGTGCGTATCTTTCAACTACTCGTTGTTATAAATTTACATGGCGCACTTGATACCTACTGTATTTATTTACCTTTGTTGGTCCTTGCCATTGCATTAGACGTTTATGAAATCCCAATCCAACTTGCCAATTCACCTGGTAATTGTGATAAACAACCACCGGTTTATGGGCAGAGAACCTGAACTCCTTCAGCCGGGAATGACTAACATGACATATAAATCTCCCTTCCGAGATCATTTGCTACTGAGGACGTTTCTTTAGAATTTAGCCCCTCAAATTGAATATGCACACTTTATTTAGCGTGGAGACAATTTGGTTCACTCACAAATCATCGTAGCCGCATTAAAAATATTAAGGCCGAGATCTTCGACGAAAGGCTTTCCTCGTGGTAATCAGTGGAGTTTAATGGATCACCCTTGCTTATTTTGTACTTTGATTTATCTAAATACAGATTTACTTTACAGCTATCGAGACCTTAAAAGCTATATTGGACTGTGAATTTCTTACGTCTTATCTTTAAAGATCAACCAAATTTTGACGTGGTTAAAATAACTTTTCGTCGATTAGTAAATGACAGCGCAAGTGCTGACATTGAACAATATTCACATTATATCCCATTATATCACAGGAGTTTTTTCGCATGTACGACCCAGCCAATCTGCATGCGAACGTATGGGCTTTGTTGAACCTGCCGAGTTAGGTGGCGATATTGATGGACGGTACATACTTTTCTTAAATTTCTTAGCAGCAAATACTTTAAAAATTACGGCAAATATAGGTTTTGTTTAGTATCATCTAAGACTGCGTTTTGCAAAAATCAACCACCGCGAAAATATTCGACAAAGCTTGGGGCCATGTGTTTAATCAACTTCGCATTGCTGCCCACTTGTGTACTGAACTGCTTGTCAAAATCGACTTTAAAAAGATAAATTTAGTCTACACACAGTGAGGCGGTAGTTATTCGGACCTAAAGATAAAATGGTTGGATAATTCTACTTCGAGGAGATTCCGACTTTCGTTTGTTAGTCAAGATGAAAGTACATATCACTGGGCTGGGCTGGTCTGAAGCTAAATTTGCTGCAACGTGGAATGATTTTCTGATTTTCTGTTTGAAATTTAATTTTCTTCTACGGTAAGATCTTCATCCTGTAAATTTAAAATAATAATTTGCTGGGTTGTCCAAGGTATACATGAGTCTTCGCCAATTGTACATCTGCCATATCGTTTCTTCCTTTTTGAATATTTAGTGTTTTTAATGACGTACACACTTGTGCCGTTTCTACTCATTTTATACCTCTTACTAATCGAGTTCGAGGTTGAGGTCCGTACTGTAAAAATTACGGCTAAAGCGTGAAACGTGTGGGGCCATTAATCCGAACGGAAAATGCGAGACTCCATAAGATACAGTATGAACCGAATGAAAAAACGAGATTATTAAGATAATTATCGTATCCTTGGGTTCAAATAGAGGGGGAAGATTTTAATTCGAAAACTTTTTTGAAGTTAACGGGCCGTACAGTGAAATATGGGTCGCCAAGTTGACTAATCATCGCAAATATTCTCACTAAGAGATGTAATAGCAAAGTGATAGGACTAAAAAATCATACTTAGGCATGAACTGAACGTTTAACGGAGAATTAAGTTAACTTAAAAAGAAAACTTCGCTAGGAGCCCAGAAAAAGTATCTTCATTCGTAACGAATGTACATGATTGATCTGCCGCAGATTGAGGTTTTTCATGGTAGAGTTGTCGCAAGTTTCATTCTCCTAAACATATTGCATCCCTTTTTTTGGAGGAATGTGTTTCGTTAGGCTGACGAACAACGAACAACTTGTCAGATTTTTCAACTTAGAAGCAGCTGCTTTGTTTCTTTTCACATTATCTTGTAAATAGCGAAAATAAAAGCAGTCACAACTTTTTAAGTTAAGAGGTTAAAAGCTTCAAAGTGAAATCCTTAAGCTATGATTCGATTTTACTTCTCCGTCAACCCTTTGGCCCCTAACAGTGACTTACATCTAATTTCTCCATACAATATCACCCCTGAATCAAGCATTAAGGTCAGGAGAATAAAGGAAATGATCAGTATCTAACGAAGCTTTTGATTGTCCAACAAATTCTACTCGTCAGCACCCTAGGAAACTGAAGTATGGAGACAGGAGCGCATTATCTGCTTCTGATAGAGAAAAGTGTGGAGAATATGTATATTGATGTTAAAGTTGTAAAGGGTCGAAAAACAGTGTTTCAACTAAACGCAAGGAATTGTATTATGTAAAGTCTGAGATAACGGTTCCCATTTAAGTAATTCAGTTCGCTATCGATAGAATTAACCCAGACCTCAAATGATGAAATGAACTGCTACAGTAGAACTTCGATATAACAAACCTCTATACAACGAACTTCTATATAACGAGGTCCTCGGTACAAAGAACGATACTTCAGTTTCAGCCCGGCTATAGTTACAGTAAAATGTATGCCATAAAACCTCGATAGAGTGGAAACTCGATTTAACGAAGTGCTAAGGGACTGGGGAAATTGCTTCCCTATATCGAGGGTTCGTTAGATCGAGGTTCTGTGTCGTACATTTTACTATAACTTTAGCCGGGCTGAACCTGAAGTATCGTTTTTTGTACCGAGGACTTTGTTATATAGAGGCGGGTTCGTTAAATCGACGTTCCACTAACGAATCCTCGATATAACGAACCAATTTCCCCAGTCCCTTGGCACTTCATTAACTCGAGGTTCCACTGTACAATGTTACTATCGAGTCAGATCTGTGAGCTATTCTTTATATAATTAACTCAATTTCATCTCTTTACTAATCGTGGGCGGTTGAACGGTACGTTAAGAATTATATTAAGTGTAAGTTACAAAAACTCAGGGAGGTTAAAAACACTGAAACGTTTTCTAAACGCGGACGAAAGCCGAAAGTTAAAAGTTCTTATCATTCCTGATGCTTACTACACCTTTGTGGTCGGCACATGCTGATTTAAAATGCTAAAACGACGACTCTTCAGTCGATCCATTGACGTCAAAGCTCACCAGAGTTGATTTTATACTTCTTCCGGTTGCTGTTCGCGTTTCAAAAACGTCACTACTTAAGTTCTCTGGTTACAGTGTAAAATATCTGTTGGCAATTTTTTCCTTTTTGCTTCAACCATAGTTCGAACATCGACCTTCATCATCGAATCTCCCAAAGGAATTGCGACTAAGAATCACTTGAAATCACGAATATTGATAGCAGTTCAAGTTCTTCAGGGTTTACTCGAAGCCGTTGGCCTACAGATCATGAGGACATATGCATTTTCAGTAAATTCAGGCGTACGGAAAAACTGCCGTGAGACCTATGCTATCTTATCGATTGCTAGAACCATTATCTTGTTGGGTTGGATTTCTAGCGTGGTTGAATTTTTGTTCTCTGCCATTTTTTAATCTTTATCCTTTTTCAGTGTTCATCTTCCTTTGTCATACTGGAGAGGGTGCGACCGGAAGTCTCGATGCGTTTTCGCTGAACACGCACAACAGTGGACCGGAAGTCTTAAGTTTTTCTCGCTAGACACACGATAGTGGCGCTCAAAGATCACGCTTATTTACTGCCATCGTTATCGCCAACATGTCTTTACTTAAGATGCCGCTTGAAGAACTCAATCCTCACTTGATGTGTGTGTTGTGTTCTGGGTACCTTGTTGACGCTACGACGATTATCGAATGCCTACATTCTTGTAAGTTCGCATTAATTATAAACTGATTTATCATCATCAGTTCATGTTTTTCAGTGTTGGTCATTTCAGCATTAGCCGTGCAAGAAACTGGTTGAAGCAGGTTTCTGAGTAAAGCGAGCACTTGTTGCAAATCTTCAACCGCTGTCGGTTATTTAAGATATTACGTTTTCTTTTTAATGTACTCTCTCGTGAGATCGATCTAGCCAGTCTAAGATATAATTTCACTCGTCTCTAATATTCCTCAACAAGTCCAAAGCATTGTGATGGATGTATGCAGATATTTGAAAAGTTCACAAGATATTTTGATTCTTCTCTGGCTTTCACGGTTAGAAAATTTTGTGATTTTTTTCTGTAGTTTGTCGAAGCTGTATCGTTAAATACCTTCAGACATCGTATCACTGTCCTGTTTGTGATGTTGAAGTCCACAAGACCAAACCCCTGCTACATATAAGGTAAGTAAGCTTGTTTGTTTGGCTTTAGCCCGAATTGCTCTAAGGCCGTCCCAACAGATAAATATCTTGCAATTTAACGACGGGAGTCCTTGCTTCAGTTGTTCCTATCATAGACTTTGACCCTTGCAATATATTTTTCCTTCTTAATTAATAGTAAAAGAAACAATATATCATACGAAAGAAAAGATTATTACTTATGTGGTTAATTTTTAGCAATGCGATAAAACACGGTTACTGAAGAGTTTTGCTCCAAAAAGTATTACAATAATAGGTGTTCAAAGTAGCGAAACTCAGCAATTGTTGTATGAATTCAGAATAGCTATGCCTCAGTATAATCCTGAATTTTCTTACCTTGGTTCGAGATGGTAGAAGTTCATCTGTGAGACTCTTGACGACAATAAAAAATTGCAAAAAAATAGCTTGGTGTACAAATATCGTGAACTGTGCTTCTAATACGAAGTTCTAATACGAATTCTAGGGTAGCGATGTAGGGAAACTAGAGATATTTTGGTATTTCGATGTTTTAATCCTCTTTTCCTTGGCCTTTCTATGCCATGGCAGACCCGACCGACCGCTCCAGGACATTGTGAACAAGCTTGTCCCAGGATTAGTATATGGTGAGAAGAACAATTATAACGTAAAATTCTGAAATGGTAGCGTAATCTCATGGGGTGAAACAATGCTACTCCATCGGTCAGGACAAGAGGAATCTGAGCACAAGTCTTTGCCGAGCGGTTAAATCGAGAAATATCTCGTACAGCCCAACTAAAGTAAACACAACAGTCATGAAGAAAAAGGCAAAATATGAAAGATGGTCAAACTGAAAGCGAATAGAAAAAGCGAACGATCAAGTCGCCATTGGTTTAAGATTTGAATCTGGTTGGTAAAGAAAGTGGTGCGAGTTTTCTAGACCAATCATAGCGAGATATAGAGTGTCGCAAACGTTGTGGGATTTCTTTGGTTTTACTTTATTTAAATATATGATTGGTCCAGAAAACTCCCACTAACCTCCAGTCTTAACCAATCAGATACTAACCAGAACTTGTCCGCTCCCGTTTTTCCCGCACTTAAGGCAGTTTTGTTGTTTTTTCTTTGTGTCCTCATTGGCTCTAAAGGTATTTTCCTTCCTACTGATTGGCCACTGCGATTATACTTTGGTTTTGGTTGTACGACACGTTACTTAACCTGACAGTATTTGCGGTAGGACGCTAATGACGATGGGAAAAATTGCTTTTGAGTTATGATAAAAAATATATTTTCAGAACATAATGTAATGTTCAAATATTGTTTTCTTAACCTTATGTGTAGCCTGCGCAGCCAAAGAGTTATCTTTATCTCGCATGGAAATAAAATCTTGTTCTTTGGTCAACACTCCTGGGAAAATTTAAGATGATTCAGCACTTGTACATACTACACCTACGCAATCTGGGTAACCTTTGATAGGTGTTGCTTTAAACAAAAGTAACGTGACAAAAAAAAAATTTCGTAAGAGAAATCTTGTTGTTTCTTAACCGATCTTTTTGAATTACAGACGAACTCGATCGCCGTTCAAAATTCGAAGACAAATCAGAAGAGGAAAATTCTATAAGCGCGGGTAAGAGGATAAACAGCAAAACTGCATTGCGATGGTTGTTGGAATTCTAATCTTACATAAGATGCATTTAATTTGCCCAGGCAAATCCATCTGGATCGCGCGTAGAATACCATGCTATGTAACAACTCCGTTCTGGAGCTGGTTCGTCCAGAGTCCAAATAACTTAACTGTTGAGATCAAACTGTTTTAAAGTGTAAATCTAAGTATAATCTCCTGATATTTCTATTGTTAGAGTTTTAAAAATGTCAATATCTTGATCATGAATGTAGCAAGCATAACATCGCCAGAAGAGTTGAATCATCATGCACGGTTGAACCACGACACTTAGAATTTTACGAGCTGAGCATTGATCCTCTCATTATTCTCGAGGTCATGCGTAAATCTGTCTTATTTCTTTTTTTTCTATTGACGGATTTATCAGTCGATACAGCCTTAATAAGTGAGACTGGGGCTGTGAAAACTGATTGCGAAACGAATTCAAAGAGCAACGCCGAGGTAAAGATGGAAGATCCGATGTTTGTCACTCTGGAATACTACAGGTTAGTTTATCATCTTCTTGTGTCTCTATCTGCTGTTAGGGTTGAGTTTAAAAACGTTGGTGAAAGTAAAGAAGAGCTCAGGAAAATTTTGAGGGGAACGGTAAAGAGAAGGGCATCTGACTAAACTAATTTCCTGCCTCAGAGAAAGGGCGACCAAAATATGCTACCGTAAACCTCAAGTAGTATGTCGGTTTTCATTACCACCTTTTGGTGAAATAACAGAAATAAAAAGAAGGAAAAATCAAAGGAGAATAGGGAGTGCAAATTTAAGTTACAAATTCAAGAGCGTTCTACTTATTGTAATTTCAATTCATCTTTTCCTTTTTGTCATTCGATAGGCGTCAAAGAATCTGGAATGAACGCCAGGTTTGTTTTTACTTTCTGACGTACCATTCTTTGACCGTCAGTCTGATCGGAATTGAGGACATAGCGCTTTCCTAACACAGCGCCTTTATGGATAAACTGTTTATAGTGTAAACATGAAATCTCTCTTTCGTCGCATTCCAAATACCAAAAGATGTACGTACGATTATATATGTGGGATTTTGTGGAAGCTACCTTACGACACTTCAGGAAATTAGCCAAGGGATGCGAACAAAGCGAAACAAAGCGAGGATGGCAGCCTTGAATTCCTGAGCTGACATTTGGTGGGAAATAGAACATTTCCTTTAAATGTAGTACATAACACCATAAAAGAATCGTTTATTAGAGTATAGAGACAGTAGAGCAGAAGAACAAGGATGGTATAGGACGGTGAACTTTAAAAAGAAACAAAAATTACGACCTTGAAAACCTTTGCATAACTTTTTCGGCATGGACTTTCAGTGACGCAGCTCCTTGAAACTAACTGACTGACCGTTGAAAAACGATAAACAACGTTTGACTGTTTTTCTTTATGTTCAAAATAACGATGTTTGAACTAGTTTATGTTATCGAACGGCTTCTGAATGATGTCTGTCTTGTTTCCTCTGAAGATTTTCCCGACTCGTTATCTCAGATGTCCTTCTGCGGTGACTGTCAACGTCTTGAAAAAGTTCCTTGCAATGAAGTTTGCAATTCCTAACACACATCAGGTAAATAAATAAGTAAGTGAAGTTGTAGAAACAGATGAAAGATGGATGAATGAAGGGGATGAGTTTCTAAAGAAACTGTGGTGCTGCGTCGGTGGGGAATATTACTCACTCGAAATGTCAGCTTTACATTATCAACTCCGTTGATAAAACCAAATTACATTAAAAAAAAAAAAGGATTGACTGTTTGATTGTCTAACTGACTAATTGGTCGATTGATCGATCAATCGATTTATTTTGCCAATTTTTTTCAGGCTGAACTTGTTCGCTCTGACGAGCTTCTTGACGACTCGTTGACGATGAAGGAAGTTTCGCAAATATATGGGCTCTACTCGAAAGTAAGAAGAGTTCAGTTAGTTCATCATGATTAAAAACTACTCTCATTTTAGCGCATTCAGCACTTCATACCAAACGAAAGTTCGGCATTCTTCCATTTGACTGCAGAATGCCAAAAAAAACAGTTAAAAGCGTTTCTATGTAAATAAAGCCTTATTTATGTAAGATCTTTGACTTGTAGACTGTTAGACAAATGGTGGTGTTAAAGTTTTCTACAGCCTAAGACTTGAAATTTTTCAAACCAACTTTGATCTCCATTTTCCTTTGCTTCCACTCCAAAACTGTGTACATGTAGCACAAAGAGAAACAAAGTCTCATTGAACCAGTTGACCGACATCACATATATGTACATGTATATATTTAGATATGCCTGAATACATATTTTATCTCGCTACCTTTGTGGCTAATGCCAGCCAACCACACTTAATCGTTAAAAAAAAACCACAAAAACAAAAACAAAACAACAAGATGGTAATAAGTATTCAGTCTCTCTATTCCTTGTATATGAAGGCGATTCTCTCAGTAATGAACACTACTATTGTAATAGTTGACTGCTCAGTTGATAGAGCACTGCACCCGGTATCGCAGAGGTCTTAGGTTCAATTCCGGCACAGGCCTGAATTTTTTTTTCAGGCCTTATTTTCACTGCTACATAAGTAGTGTTCATTGCTGCGAGGATTGCTTTCATATAAAATTCTTAATACCGCACTACACATATATGATTTACACAGATTCTAATTCATCGACTTTTGTTCATTGTTTGAAAATTGCGAATGAATTTTTGACCTCTCGGCTACGTTAACGACTCTATGTCTGATAAATTAATTAGTCTTTTTTTTGTACCCTTGTTTTCATCTGATGGTTAAATCTTAATCTTTATTGTTTGCAGTCTTTCCTGGATCTCCAATACTCTTTCTTGGACGTTTGTAAGGAGGATACCGTGACAAAAGTCAAAGAACCACCAAGAAAAAAACTTAGAACATGCAACGAAGACGGGGATGAAACAAAGGAAAGCGAACATTTTGGGGCGGTACAAACCAAACAGTTAACTGTGGACGAAAAGGGAAAACATCCCCAACAGCAGGATATAAGGCTCGATAAGGATAGTCCCGTACATCATTCTCCGGAGGGTGCTATTTTACTAACATTTCCGGAGACGCCTCCAAGTTTTGAACTTGATCCTGGCGAAGAAGAAACGTCGCCACAAGTTTGATTAGGACACGCGAACTCAGATCACCTCCGCGTTGTTTGCTTGTGCACGTTTGTGTGAACACATGGAGGTACGAGGAGACCTTGAAATAATTTTTCGTTTGACGAGGCTCTAAAACCAGCTAAGTTCGAAGAGGGTCAAATCCGCCTGCGGTCTCGGCCGAGTGATTGTGCGAGACAAGTTTTAGTAAATATTGAGTTTCCAATAACCGAGGTTTCCAAAGGAATCTCTAACTTTGGTTGAAAGGTGTTCTTAAACAGGACAGAGTACTGATCTCTTTCCCTTTTTACCCAAAAAGCGACAACTTGTTTTTACTTTTGAAAGACAAGTGGGTGGACAAAATTATTCTCTCTCTCTGTAGACTTTACCAAATCGGAGCGATGTGGTTCGCGGCTGTCTGGTACATTACAAGCCCTTCCTAGTCGACGTGGTCGAATGGCTACACTCCAGCTTAGTAAACATTTCCATAGTTTACAGTTTAGTTTTATCAAGTTTTGTCGATTCACTCTGGGTTGATCCACTCTGACGAAGGGCCAATGCTCGAAACGTTAGCTTAGAAACTCTTTACATTGGCCACTTTAAATTATCAACTCAGTTAATGAAAACAAATAATCGCTTAGTTAATCTCCCCCACCTGCGCAGCGCCACAGTTTCTTTAGAAATTTACCCCCTTTATTCATTGCTGTGATTGGCGCTTTTCGACATGTGTTTTCCTCAGTGGTCTCCTTTCGCGCGTGCTCCTGTTGTTGTGTTGCTTGATCGCGGGTATCCATGTTTCTGGAATGTCTATTTCATCTTGTTCTTTTCACGATGACGAATAACCACAGCCTCTAAAATACAGGATTCCTGTTCGTATTTTGACGCCAAAAAGTAGGATTTATAAGAATTAGAGTAAGACCACCGATACCCTGGCCAAGATATGCAAAATCTGCCTTTAAACGTGTACTTGATGAGGTGGTGAACTGCCTTGGTGACAAAAAGCAAGCTAGTCAGTGGTAAAAACTGAGTTATTAAATAAAAAGACATACACAATGTAGTTTGTAATGGTTACAAATAATGACCGCCACTTTTGTAATCATTTGACTTCCTAAGGGTGACTAGCATCTGATTTCTCCTTACATAATAATAATAATAATAATAATAATAATAATAATAATTTCTATTTATATAGCGCTCATATCCTGAGCTCATGGCGCTTTACAACACTGTGCGCGGGACTTTACCAGACTGCTAAGCAGTTTACAATCGATTAAAGGTAAATTTAACATGCCCCCTCCCCCCAATTCCTAGTAAACAGGCCAGACCACATCACAGTAATCTCGTGAAGTGGGTTCTTTAACGTCCCCTGCCTAACCAAATTAACTAATTAATAAATGCAGGAGACGGGACCTATGGTTTATTCGTCCTTATCCGAGAAGACCAGAATGTCTATCCATTTCTTGATATTATAGAAAGGTAGCGCATTCTCCTCAGTTATTTTAAGACCTTGAGTGTTGGTCCGGCCGGGGCTTGAACCCTCGACCTCCCGCACAACAGTCCAGCGTTCAACCAATTGAGCTTAATCACCCTGAATAATACATTAAGGTCACGAGGATGAAGGAAAAGATCATCCACTGAAGAATATCTTGATTTTGAAACATTTTCTCCTTGTCAGCACCTTAGAAAATGTATATAGAACAGTATGGAGAATATGCATCCCGATGCTAGGGTGAAAAGAGTAAGTGACATCGATTTTTCAGTTTTAATCTTGCCTTTCCAAGTATCGTCTAGTCTTGTTAAATCTCTTTTTTTTTTTTTTAACTATTGAAACCAAACGCATAAGCTGGCACAGCGCAACGAAAGCCGGGCTTAAGTTCATATCAAACTAGAAATCTAAGAAATGGAATTGGGGATCAAATTTAAAAGCCAACCTTTGCTAATTCGCTTCCTGATATTTTCATTGTTTTACAAGTGCTGCTTTCAGAATTATGTGATACAGGATTGCATTGCAATAAATCTGACAAATATTCTCCAGACAAAACATTCCTCTTTGGTTCTCGACCGGGTTTCTTATAGAGTGAGGGTTTTAATGGGGTGACGGCCAACCTTTATACTCTTAGTCATTTTACAGCTAACGATCAATTTCTTTCAGTCGCAGATACATGAGAAAATTTTAGCCGCTAACTTATTTAAAAGTGTCAACTTTAATGCCTAAAAGCTAATTTTTTAGCCTTTTTATGGCAAACGGTCGACCGCTACCCTCAAGAAATAGTGTAGACAGCAGGGGAACCAAGCCACAGTCGCACGGAATTTTTAAAAGAATCTGGCTGGAACGTACTTGGTAATTTGGTTTTATGAACTAAGTTGAAATTGTAAATTGGCCACCGTAAAGAGTTAAAAAGCTGACGTTTTGAGCGTTGGCCCTTCGTCAGAGCGAATGGAGGAATTGTGGGTTGTATGGTGTGTGTTTATAGACAGAAAGTGAAGCTACACTATTGGTGGGAACATGGTGACGACAAAAACAAGAATGAATTAGTAGAATACTAAAAACGAAACCTCAGCTTTTTAACTCTTTACAATTTCTACTTAGTTGATGTAACCAAATTACCTTGTTACTCCCACCGACGCAGCGCCACGGTTTCTTTAGAAACTTACCCCCTTTATGGAACGTACTTGCTTCTTCTTGGAAATATTTGACGGAATCGCTCAGCTTTCAACAGTCTGTTGGAGTGAGTGGTTACACAGAATTAGCCATGTAACCACTCGCTCACATTTTACTGCTGTGTAACCACTCACTCCGATAGAAATCATGCGATCAATTATTGTAGAATGGTTTAATTTCGCGCATTCAAAGTTTCAGCGTTTTTAGCGGTGTTTTAATTTCGTGGTTTCCTCTGTTTCATTGTTCTAATTTTTCCATAAAGAAAGACGTGAAAATGAGTCCCAAAAGTATTATTTATTATTATAATAGTGTGCCAAGGCTTCAGCAAGACGTGTGAAAGAGTTGAGAGTAGTGATGCAATTACGTGATTCTCGCGTTTCTATTTACGAACATTCGTTGTCTTGAACTCTTATATTTTCGTACAGTGCTTTTTCTCCATCTGCTTGACACCTTTATTAATATTTTAAAATGTGGACCCGTGATAGTTATTTATTGTACTCGTAATGGTATTTACATTTATAACAGTGCTAAAAATTCGTCTAACAATATGCAAATAATATGTAAATAATATTTTTAAGGTTTGATTTGTGCAATAAATGTTGTTTTGTAGTAAATAATTCTGCGTTTATTGGATTTGGGTGTCATACTTATAAATTCAAGATGGCGGCCGGCCAACTCCGACTTCGCGGTGTTTAAATTTCGCGCAAAGTCCCCTTCCGCGAAAATAGAAAAAATTAAACACCGCTAATAATTAACCACTTAACAGTACTCTTCGGAACGTAAAATGAAAATTTTTGCCAAACGAAATTCGAATTCATAAATAGTTACGTTTATTTCAGAAATTTTCCCCAAATTTTTAAGAAGTAATATTTTCCAACATTTGTTACTCATTTTTTCAAGGGTGGAGGTGACTTCCTTAATTTGAGTCTGACGTTGGAAAAATAACACTGGCATGCTATATGGCGTATCAGTTATCAATGGAAACGCTTGTTTTGTTTTTTCCTCTGTCTTTGCGAACGTGAGGTTTATTTACATCTCTTAATTCAATATTTAACAATTATTCGCCGAAGGTAAGATGAATATCGTCGAATAATCCCCGAGACGAAGTCGAGGGGATTATTCGACAATATTCATCGAACCTGACGAAATCTTGTTTTAGTACAATTTCAGGGCTGAACAACAGAGAAAATTCTAAAATCATAACATTTTATTTGAACATTTTATATAAACCGCGTGGAGCGGTTCATATAAGGAACCGCTCGACCAATCAGAGTGCTGGAAACTCTTTGCTCAGCTCTGAAATTATATCAAAAGTAGATAAAATTACTTTCAATGATAAACAGCCATGAAATTTAAAAAAAAAAAAGAAGCTTAACAGCCAGTAGTCGGTTGAGAGAAAAAATAGAAATGCATCAAGTCTGGTTTTCATCGGCGACGGAGTCGAAGTCTTAAGAGCACTTCCAACCCGATTAAATTAGAAAATAGAGTCGTACGCGGAGTCATAAGCTCGATGGATTCGGAAGAAACAGAACAGTTTCACTTTCTTCCGATCCTGCATATAATCCAGTATAAACTAGATTGTCGGAGTCGCAAGCAGAAACGGAAGAACCAACCAATCACAGTGCATGCCAGTTCTCGGGCCCTTCGAGTACAGTCTGATACCGGCGAACACCGACTTACGACTCAGAGAATACAGCTTTCATTGGATCGTAGACGACAAAGTTGTAAGCGGCATCGATATTTTATTTCTTCCGATTCAGTCGGTTCGATTTGCACCAGTTCGTATCGCTCTCCCCTTCTGATTACGTCTCCGACATCCAATCCGTCTTGAGAGAAAACCATACTTTGAAAACTTCTGCAACATTTGATTCCAAGTCCGTTTAGGCGTTAGAAATCCCCGACCAAAACAGATTCTTTATGTAATAATTGCTCCTCGCAAACATACGCTTGACAGCTATGCGAAAACTTTTGTATCTAATAGAATATATGAGTGGATTACAAGCGCTGTTTGCAAAGCCAATGAACATTGTTGTTATATCTACAGTTGGTCCTCCTGTGGCCTTGCCATGAGCGGTTTGCACAATAAGTAGTAAACAAAATGGCGACCAACACACCACGTAAGTTCCAATGGCAATAAGGATTGTTAAAGCTCCTTTTCTACCTGAAGCAACGTTCGTTCTCGTTTCCAAGCCATTGTTTGCTCGAAATTTTTTGAGTTCCACCGAAATTCTTCTGGATTGATTTGCAACTATGTTGAAGATCTTGAAGTGAACACAACACATGACTAAAACCGCTGCCCCATAGGTACAGCAAACCACTGAGGCAGTGAACCAAACAGCTCCTTTCCCACGAGGCCATTCCGTCTCGAAACATTTCCCGATGTAAGGAATAAAGCACTCGTATGTAACAACGCCGAATAAAGGCGGCAATGCCCATAATGTTGAATATATCCATAACAAGAGACAGGCGCCTCGAACTCTGTTCTTGGTCACCACTGATGAATAGACGAGGGGGCGAGAAATCGCCACGTAACGGTCGACAGAAAGCAGTGTTAGATGCATGATAGATGAAATGCAGAACAAAAAGTTTCCAAAAGCGGTGAGTTTTCCCCACACTCGTCCAAAGCGCCACTTTCCCGCCACAACACTGCCTATCGCACAAGGCATGACAAGTAGACCAACAAAGAGATCGGCAACCGCCAGCGATACGATAGCGTCTTTGTTCGCTGGGATAACCTTCAGGGCATTCATCTTAACCAGTGCTACGGTGACTAAAGCGTTTCCAACAATCGTGGCCAAGTTTATTGCAATCATGATAATAGCAGTTAAAACAACAACGCTTGTCGGCCAAGTTGAAGTCACCAGGGAGAAGTTTTCGCTGGTGGCCAGATCGGTACAGCAAAAGTTGGTGAAATTTCCGGACATTTGGAACCTACCTCAGATGCGAACTCCTCAGATGGTCAGAGTAATCCCAGTTTCGGGCGCTTGGCTTTCCAAGAGCTGTTTAATCTTGAAGCACCGAAGAAACAGCAACAATAGTATCTGAACGCACCTGTTTTCTTGTCACGTTTCCGAGTTTTGCTTCATAAAAGAGGTTTTTCCTTATGAATTGTCCATAATTGCTACGTAACCTTGTGGTTTGATTGCCTATTCATTTATTTCATTGTCGCTCTTATTTAACACCCAACAACCATTCTTTCTTCTTTTTTTTTCTCAATGAAAAGTATGAAAGGGAAAAACCCCAACACTCAAACTCGTAAGCTATAAAGTACCTCTGCATAAGTGCATATCTCTTAAAGACTCGCGGTTCTGTCCTCGTGTACCGGTTCACAAGAGCCAATACAAAAGACCAAACAATACTCAATAGCTAACCGATAACTCCTAAACAAAGAAAGAACAATGGTAATTCCCTTGTGAACCGGTACACCAGGACAGAACCAGACTTGCCTTGGAAAGCCAGTCAATGGCTGCGAGCCAAAAATACTTGCTTAATCCAGAGAATAAGAACTGAACAATGGTGTGTAACTTGAAAACTTCTTAAGCAAAACCGCGTGAGCAACACGTACGCTGTGATACGATTATGTAATCCTGGTTTTATGATAAATTATTCAACATCCACACAGCCCAGCCTATAAATGAAAAAACTCAACAATGCTAAAAGATTTTTGCTCAAAATTTTACTCCAATAGCAGTAAATAATGACTTTTCCTAAGACTTGAATCTTCCCATAACACCATGTATAAATTTATCTTCCGGGGCCGCTGTTTGAGGGACTCCCTTGAGTAATCAATCGGAAATCAAGCGGTTACTGAAACACGACGAGCTCCAGTACAGGCACAATAGGGATGTGACATCCCTAATGAAGCATTGTGTAGTCTATTAATGACTCAATCGGAGGAACGCCTATTTTTAGTTCTAGCACATATTTTTAGCAAGTACTGCCTCAAGGGTGTAATTGTTATTCATGTACTGAAATATAGTTCGTTTGCTGGAAAATTTCGAAACGTGGCAGATTCAACAGCCTAAAACTATGTACGGTCACTGAAACTGAGTTGTCGTTTAAAACGGAGTGATTTGATCAAGAGCTTCGTGAAACAATAGAGACATTGTCAGTTTTTCTTTCAGCAGAATTAGACCTAACCGCACGTCAGTGCTAGTTGATCCAGACCTTCGCGAGTGCCTTCACGAAACAAAATCGTGCGTGCTCTTCTTCTAACAAACCATCACAAACTATATACCATCGAAAAGTTTATTAAATGCGAAAGTCGATTAAGTCATAAGCTACTGTGATTTTCTTTTTTCCAAGATGAAAGAACGAGAGATCAGCCCCCTTTATAGACCACTTTCATAAATGGCTACCGGATTAATATTCTTTTGGTTAGATTTAAATTTGCCTGGGTGGCCTCGCTTGAGATAATGTATTCTTTTGAATTTTGTACTGGAGAACGAGGCCACCTAGGCAAATTTAAATTTAAACAAAGGAATATTAATCCAGCAGCCATTTATGAAAGTGGTCTATATAGATGTTCCTTAAACTTTATTAGCAAATGTAAAAATAGCCCTTTCCTTACAAATTGTTATCGCGCTTATTTTCATGGAGCTTTTTCATGAGGACTCTACCATTTATCAGAGGCCGGTAATCACCGAAAAATATCAGCTTAAATCTTCGCCCGACAGCCGTCGTTGACTTTCATTAATCGTTTGCTGGATCACAAAAACCGCTCACACTTTGGGCCAGGTTGATTAACCGCGATTCAGCCAACCCAGGGTCAGAGTAAATTATTCGGCCAGTTTTACAGCTGAGCAGAGAGTCTCAACTTCTTGCTTACACTTCATTCAGTTTTGCCTTGTACACTAAGATAGTATACCGCAAACTGTTAGACGCTTTAATGGAAGAGAAAGCGAATCCAGGTGTAGATTTAAACCCTAAACTAGCGCTAGCCGCTAGTCGATCAAAATGAACGAAATAATATTTTTTGATAGGTTTAACACTTATTACCAGTGTTACGAGTTTATATAGTTGGGGCACAATAGTTTCGGCAGAAATTCCAAGGCGTTTCGGCGAACATATAGCGATTAAAACGAAGGACAGAGGAGAAGTGTGACAAGACACTTGTTAACCGATTTTCAAAAAAAGGTCCTCCTGATATAATTCCTGCCTGTGGGCCGTTCTTAGCTTCTCTTTCTTTCTCATCGCCTTACATTCGCCTCACTGTGCTGGCGCATGCGCAACCGGTGCACTTACCAAACGCCTGGAAAACTCGTTACATTAAGGAGGGTTTGGGGAGAAGGGAATCCCTGTGTTAAGATTTAAAGTGGAGAAATGAGTCGCAAGAAACTGGTTGCAGGGACGTGTACCCTCGTGCGTACCGACCTGTCGATCAAAGACATGCAGTGATCACGTGCTCCTCACGTGACTTCAAACGGGCGAATTGATATTTTTCAAGCCTGGTATTTCATCAATAGTCGGAGGCGTATCGGGAAAAGATGGTGTTTCGCCATTTTGTAAAAAGAGTCCATCGAGATTGTTTTGTAAACTTTGTTGTTCGCTTTTCGATTCCGTAACAGTTTCATTTCTTGGTAATAGTTCTGTTGCCATCGTTTGTTTTAATTTCTTATTTCTCTTTTTCCTTCTCTTAATCTTGATCTTTGTCCATGGATTGATGTCTAATTTTACTTTTCTTGGAATGGATGGTTCTCCTGTTGTCGGGAATTCCAGGATGGCATATTCAAGATCAAGAAAGGACTGAGGAAAAGTAAAAAATACACCTTAACCTTTTTTTCCCATAAGAGTGACTAAAATCTAATTTCTCATTGCATTATCATCCCTGGATCATTCAATAAGGTAACGAGAATAAGAGAAATGATCACTAAGAAGCTCTTGATTATTTAACAAATTCTCCTTGTCAGTACCTTAGGAAATGTATAGAGAACAGTATGGAGAATATGCATACTGATGTTAGAGTGTAACAGGTTAATGTGTCAGTCAATATTGCAATTTGAAAATTTGAAAATTCAGATTAACAATTCAGCGATGAACTCTTGTGATAAAACTGAAAAATCTACGACCATCATAGCTAAATATTTTGAAAAGCAATGAGGTTTTGATGCCAGCATTATAACAACTTCATCGGGTAAAAGTGAATCAAAGATATTCTTTCCATTGTATTATTGGGACTTACCCATTAGTATTCCATCTTTTTCTATTATAAATCTTTGCTTAATAACAATGTTAAACATTGGCAAACCTACCTTGGCGTACAGCCCGTACATTCGGGAAACTTCTCTGATGGTTAGGTGACCGTCTAGTATTTCATCACTACGGATCATTTCAACCTTGAGTGTAAAATGAAAACAACAACAAAACATTCAGATAATAGGTATAATTTTATGGGGATGGTTTAAAAGTACAGTCAAATATCACGTTTTCTTCCATAATGCTAAAGTGATTGAAATTCAATGAATTTGAAAACATGAATCATATATGTGTAGTGCGGTTTCATGGAATGTATGAAAGCGATTCTCGCAGCAATGGCCGCATTTCCACTACTACAAAAGTAGGGTTCATTACTGCGAGGATCACTTTCATACATCTGATTGAAATTCGTTTTCCTGTTCTCTTTTTCAATCTTCGATCAAGCCGTTAACTGTTGTACAATCATGGCGTCATGCCAGCTCACTCTTTTGTAATGATATAAATCATTCACTTAAATTGTGCTTTCGGAAACACAATCCCGCAAACTGACTGAACTCATAGAAGGACTCAACTCTCAAGAGCTGTAAACGGCTCATTACCGGAGTTGACACTTATCTTAGTTTTCTCGGTATGACACGACAAGGACCACTGCCAACACATAAGCGCCCTTGACCAGATTTTCGCGTATCGTAAGTTACCAGGTATTTCAATTAAAAGTCAGAAGCTATAATGTAATATTAGAACTCTCGCCACCGTTTATTTTCCTTGGACTTTGGACTTTTTGATGCTCAGAACGTTGAAAATTACTTAGCTTTGACCTAGGGAATATGCCTCTACACCCCACCCCACCCCTCCCCCTCTCTTTAGGGGAAAGGAGCCTTGTGACCCTTTTTTCTGGGAAGAGCTGCCCATCACGCCATCGCTTTCTCCACCACTGGAATTGAAACCACCTTGTTACCCCCCTAGAAATTCGTCAAGTCTTTTTTTGAAAACTTTCTGGTATCCATGGATACCCCTGCCGGCCTTTCGTCAATAGAGACACTGCGAGAATTACACGTATTGTCTCAGGGTGCAATTCGCCAAACCTGTAGATCTCCTTTGCTAAGACCCCTCGACTCTGATTTACGAAAGCAATTAATGAAAAAAAAAAAAAATGAAACTATTAACCTGATGAGTGTTAGGTATGGCGAACTTGACTACAAGGAATTTTTTCAGCACATCGACAGTCATCGCAGAAGGGCATCGTAGATAACGAGTAGGAAAAATCTAGATAAAGAAAAGACACCTGCAGCCCCCTAAAAAAAGACTGTTCTGCAGTTTAAATTACTAACAACAAACTGTCCAGTCTCGATTGTGAGTAAACACACAAGCAACACAGCGGGCAAACATTTGCGCATGTGCGAAGATTATAATGACTAGGTAGCGTGCTCTCGGGAAGTAATAACCAAGTTGTCTTAAAAGCGCTCGCAAGCAACCACAAAAGGCGGTAAGTCACGGTGTTTAATTTAAAAGTGTTTGACGTTTTTGGTAAAGCTCAAAACAGAATGGTAAATAACACAGGATATGAATAGGGTTTGTGTTCGAAAAGCGTGGAGTCGATTTTTTTCCCTACTTCTATTTTCTTTTACAGAAGTTCAAGAAGGTTTCAACTTTCTTTCCCTTATTTTGTGAGACAAATTGATCCCCTCATGCATATCCGACGTTTGACCGCTGTGTTCGCACAAGCGCACAAATTAAAGAAGCACAAAGCGTGTGGTGAAATACTAGATGCCTCAAACTTGTAACTGAAGAAGTTGTACTGAACAGTAAAGCAGTGGCAACTCTTTCAGTCGAAAGCTAACAACTCGTCTAGCAAGATCTACGACATCATTCCAGCCTCCAACAAGCCAGCATACAAACTCCGAAAGAAACGAAAATATCAACTGCCATCCACCAGTTGCAAAACGAGGAGACTAGCTGACTCGTTTATTTATAACTGCATCAACGAACTCATATATAATTAAATAATTTGGATATATCAACAAAGTTGAAATGGTAAATTGGCCACCGTAATGATTACAAAAGCTGACGTTTCGAGCGTTAGCCCTTCGTCGGAGCGAATAGAGGAATTGTGGGTTGTGTGTGCTTTTAAAGGCAGAAAATGGAGCTACGTTATTGGTGGGTGCATGGCAACGAGAAAAACATGAATAAATTAGTGGAATGAAAAGCGTTCATTGATCCCTGTGGGATTGAGACTGCCGGTTTGAAAGATGAGCTTTTGTTCAAGATTTTTACGGCTTTCCGTGCCACCTAAGTGCAAGGAAAGACCGCAGATTGCCATATGTTGCTTAGAATGATTAGGTAAATTAAAATGTCTAGCGACTGGTTTAGATGTGTCCTTGTCATTCCTTTCCACGTCTCGAAGATGTTCTCGGAATCGGTCACCTAGTCTTCTGCCCGTTTCGCCGATGTATATCTTTTTGCAATAAGTGCAAGTTATGCAATAGATTACATTAGCGGAGGTGCACGTGAAGTGATCGGTGATCTTAATGGATCGTTTAGGTCCCGATATTTTATCAGTGTTGTGAATGAAAGGACACGTTTTGCATCGCGCACGAGCGCATTTAAAAGTGCCTGGTTGCTCATTAGTCTGAAAAGAACTTCTGACCAAAAAATTGCCTAAGTTTTTGACGCTACAAAAACTTAGGCAATTTTTTGGTCAGAAGTTCTTTTCAGACTAATGAGCAACCAGGCACTTTTAAATGCGCTCGTGCGCGATGCAAAACGTGTCCTTTCATTCACAACACTGATAAAATATCGGGACCTAAACGATCCATTAAGATCACCGATCACTTCACGTGCACCTCCGCTAATGTAATCTATTGCATAACTTGCACTTATTGCAAAAAGATATACATCGGCGAAACGGGCAGAAGACTAGGTGACCGATTCCGAGAACACCTTCGAGACGTGGAAAGGAATGACAAGGACACATCTAAACCAGTCGCTAGACATTTTAATTTACCTAATCATTCTAAGCAACATATGGCAATCTGCGGTCTTTCCTTGCACTTAGGTGGCACGGAAAGCCGTAAAAATCTTGAACAAAAGCTCATCTTTCAAACCGGCAGTCTCAATCCCACAGGGATCAATGAACGCTTTTCATTCCACTAATTTATTCATGTTTTTCTCGTTGCCATGCACCCACCAATAACGTAGCTCCATTTTCTGCCTTTAAAAGCACACACAACCCACAATTCCTCTATTCGCTCCGACGAAGGGCTAACGCTCGAAACGTCAGCTTTTGTAATCATTACGGTGGCCAATTTACCATTTCAACTTTGTTGATATATCCAAATTATTTCGTTACTCCCACCGACGCAGCCCCAAACAGTTTCTTTCGAAACTATCAGCCTTTATTCATATATAATTAAATAATTAAATGGATTTTTTACCCTTTTTTATACCCAGGATAAATTAAAAGATAAGTTTCGCGTTCTAAACAATTTTTTCCTCAATTTTTTTTTAAATTTATGTAATCCAGTTGTAAGACTCCAAGTTGATTTTAATAAAACACGTTCTATTTGGTGTATCAGAAGAAAGGCTTTTGAAATTCAAGACTATCGTAGCTACAAGTTCAAGGTGGTATGTCTCAACAATTCCCTTCCCCTTTCCACGCCACAACTTCTCAACGAGATATATAATGACTAGATGAAAAATAGGTCATCTTTCGAGTTTCCCACAGTCCAACATACCTGATTTTCCGACCAGTTTCTTTTACGCCTGTACAGAGAGAGGGAGGATCCGAAATTAAAAATTGCTTAACTTCTACTATTTGAGTTAAAGCCGTCTAACACGAGCCTTGAAATAAAACAGCTTCCGTCTGCCAGCCTTACCTGTAGTATTCCAGAGTGATAAAAACTGGATCATCCATTATAATCTCTTTCTTGTCCGTGATTTCATTCGCAGCTTCATTTTCCTCTAAACAAGGGAAGAAAAACCTTATAAGCTATCTCACCGCCAACTACTTCTACTTTAAAGCTGAATTCGCTAATAACGATTTCAATGTTGTTACCTTACTTAGTAGCGTATCATAAGAGCCCAGGTAGGAGGTGATACTTCCTAGGAATAGACCGATGGGATGTATCCATGAATGAGGTCTCATTTTAACGATAAGATTGACTACAACGGGGTTGCATTTTTAGTAGAATTACGAGAATGGAGTCGCACATTTTCGGGATTTGGGGGTAAGAAAATTCTGGAAGTATGGATTGAAAAATGGTTAGATTCACGATTACAAAGTTGTTAAAGTATGACCAAAACTGACTAAGATGGGATCTGGGATTAGCCACAGCGTAGAATATTATGGGCTAAGGGTACTGAAAAGCCAGCAGCGCACTACCAGAAACAATTAGTTCAAGTTCCTCCCCAGGGTGTAAGAGCCCAGAAAAGAACCCTTTTAAAAGGTTTCAGCTTGAGATCGTTTATTTTTACACGGAATAAACAACTATTCCTTAGAGATGATTGACACCGCCACAACCATGCGTGGTAGTTGATTAAAAGGTAAACTTTGTTGTCGTATATGATTACAGGTAACAGTTTTCACATTTTAGCATATACCAACGCAATACATAGCGTTGAAAAAGCGCTCTGATTGGCTACTCAAACTCCGAACATCATTTTTTGCTTACCTTCGAGCAACTCGCGTGGGATTTGCGCCCGAAAATATTGTAAACATCACAAGAATAATTGCGACAAATTAATTTTTTTTTTCGTATTTTCTCACTGTTTTAGTAAATAATAAAACAACTATTCACCTCAGTGTCAGTGGCTCAGTGGTGGTGGATATTTTCCTCGCCGCTTCACTGCACGGCTCGGTATATATATACCACTAGCCACCGTGGAGGACCTCCACTTTGGTGAAAGGTATTCATCAAATGTCACATCGCGATAAAAATATCTCTCACCTTAGCTTCGAGTGAAGAAGACTGGGTGTACAAACATTTAAGTTTAAATCCATAAAAATTACCTGGCGATTTGTTCTCTTCTCGTTGTTTTTCTTCGAATTCTTGTTTAAGCTTCAGCTCAGCTGGAAAAAATTAGAGTGGAATTGATTTAAAACTGTATTATTTGTCAATATCCAGAATTGTTTCATCGTGAGATTATCTTCGTTACTTGACAGAAAGCTTTAAAGTTCTCGGGTGTTGCCGGGTGAATTGACCGGCCACGGATTTCTGTTTGCAAGACGTGATAAACTGAAGTCGATGATACATATATGTAGTACCACCAACTACCTTGGATCATCCATGTCAGACGTTGACCGCTGCCGATATATTTTGCTAACACTTTGTAGAAAAAGCTACCAAGTCACAATCTTGAGTCTGTAACATATGATGGGGACAAAGAATGAAAACCGTCTCATAGAAAACCTTTTCCCTAACGCAGAAAACGTCGAACAAATCTTGACGAAGTGGAATGGTTTTGGATTTCATTAAGTTGAACCTGAACTATCCTTATTCTTCGTTTTAGTGCACGAATTCCGTAAATCGTTTATTAAAAAACCACAACTTGCAGCTATAAGCTGAATTACTTGTCTTATATTCAAAATGTTTAAAAATTCAAACTATAAAAATTCCTAACTATACTAGTATTAATTTTGTATTTACAATTGTTGTTTAATTGCAAAGTGCATTATGAAAGTATTTCTAAACCTCTTTGTTTTCACATTTGGGATTGAAAACATACGCCTAGTCCTAAAAGATCTCTCACTGTCATTGTGCGCGGGCAGCAGGCCAGCTAGTTTATACCGGTCACTCTCTACTGTTAACGTTTGTTTAAACAGACTGCTAATTCCTTTCAAACGGTGGTTTAATTACCTTGGTAGAGACCGGGAACAAGTTTAAAGACAATTTCTTGGAGAGTTCGGTCAGGCCTGAAAAAAATAACGAAATAATGATTTTAAAAGTCCATTCTCAAATGATGCCTTGTTCGGAACAGATAACCTTTTTTTATTTAACCTACTAGTTTTAAATAGCTTATTCAACTCAGCCAAGATTAAAGTCACTCTAACCTATTTTCATCTCTTTTTTTAAACATGCTTGATGTAATATTTTCAAATAAAATCAAGCTAAGCTTGTGTTTTCTGAATGGCTTCATTAGTCTTGTCCTAACCCCGCTCACTCAAATAATTATCTAAATGAAAACAAGGGGTAAGTTTCTAAAGAAACTGTGGTGCTGCGCAGGTAGGGAGCATCACAAGATAATTTGGTTTTATCAACTGAGTTGGTAATGTAAACTGGCCACCGTAAAAAATTAAAACTGACGTTTCGAGCGTTAGCCCTTCATACCACATCGATTAACAATTAAACGGGTCTCATTTTTTTTTTTTGACCAGCTAAACCATTCTTGTTTTCATTTTGTTTTTTGTTTTTTTTTTTTCGCAACTTGCAGGTTTTGCGGAAATAATTAGATGTTCATCATCACTCTTTAGGCTACGGTTTTTTTACTCATGGTCAAATTTTCGGTACAATCTAAATTCATTGCGGATGAACGGCGCTAGCTTGATGAACTTTAGAATACCTCGATACTAACCTGATATTTAGCAGAGGTTTAGTCTTGTGGACTTCAACATCACAAACAGGACAGTGATAGGATGCTTGGAGATATTTCACAATGCAGCTGCGACAAACTAGAAAAAAAAAAAAAAAAACCAATATAAAACAACAATATTTCACCCCTGCTGCGAACTGTTTCAGCCAAATAGCTCAGTTTCGCTCAACTGTTTTTATCGATCAATTTTAGCTACCAAATGATCGCTGAAACACACGAAGCAATTTAAAGGAGTGTTTACGGTGAAGTGTTGGTGCTTTCAAGGAAGATTACCCGCTCCCGTAATCCGAATAGGCTTTCATACTAGGCCGGAATAAAACCGTAACCCGAATGTGGTTTTAACCCTGTTATCATTTGTTATTCAAATCATACGAATTCAAAGAAATTCATGCTTCAGTTGAAATCTTTGAAAAAAAGTAAAACATTTCTCCTCGTGTTCAGCACCGTTCAATGCTAGCAACTTGAGAAGATGAACGACCAAGAAAACCTTTCAGTTGAGGCAATTCTGTTAGATATTCGCTGTTTAAATCATTCCGATCATCTTCCTGTTAGAATTAAGTTATTCACTGGAGCTCTCAGTTCCGTGTTCCAGCCATACTTCCTTTTTATGCTATGCGGGATAGGCAGACGTCTTCGAATACGTGATGAAGACCTTTGGTACCTGCTTACGGCGGTACAAAAGAAGGGAAAAATTGAATACAGGACTAAAGATTGTCTGAAATTGTTGCGGAGAAGAGGAGAAGGGTTTCAAACAGTCTCAAGTCTAGAATCGGAGTAAAGTTATCAATGTTACATTCTCGGCGAAAATTTGTCATTCCAAAATACGCTACTGAACTCTTTACTGTGTTCTGCCATTTTACTTACACGAATGCAGGCACTCCACAATAGTTGTGGCATCCACTAAGTATCCACCACATAACACGCACAAAATGTGAGAGTTTAGATCTTGGATCTTCATAGAACGTAACATCTTCCGTTGAAATTATGTCTTCCACTTCCCTGATATAAAGGCTAAAAAAAAAGAAAACACATTCGTTAATTATCATAGAAAGCAGTCCCTTTGCCGCGACCTGGCCATACTTCTAAGGAATGATAGTCGAGGGCAATTGAGATTTCAACACGAGAACTACAGGAGCCGTATCGGCCACGAAGCTATGATTTGACCGCCACAAGCTAATGAATTCATTTTAGTGACAAAATGTTGACAGCGGAAAAACTAACTTAATGCGTGGCGCACTTGAATTTTTTCCTTCAAAGACCCATTCTGTCTCCTCCGCCGCCGATAAACTTCACCGACAAGTCGAGGAGCAGAAAAAGCCGGCATTATCGGTTTATGTTTTAGTCTATATGCGACGCCTGCCGATAGAATAAGCTGAAATATATATTTCAGTACGCACAGTTGGCCAAAAATAAAATTCACAAGCATTGATAAACAAAGTTTTGAATCCAAATTATAAAAAAAAAAAAACTAGGGCCTAAAATTTCTGCGAGGGAACTTAAATCATAAGCCTCGCCTGGCATCGAAAATTTCGCCAAGGAGAGAGAAGCAATTAAGATAATAGTAAAATAGATAGATTCTCGTCGGAACAGGACTGAAAACCATGTTTTTAATATCAAAAAGGTTTAGCTTGTATTTTATTTCATTAACAAGATTTTTTTTCCTCTAAAGCGGTGATGAATGAGCTCGGAAGTTTCGATCATTTATCTTTGTAAAGCTTAATAGCTAAATGTTTTTTCCCAGTTCTCTGAAGTCTGCTTACCTTTGAACTAAGGTCCTCACTATATGAAACTCTTACTAAATGAATCCTAGCTTCGTTTCATTTTATAGCTTCTCAGTCATGTTCGAAGACTTTCAATACGGGCTTCGTAGCTGTGAGAATTTTTGGCTGCGAGACGCTAACGTCTACTAAGTTAGGCTCCGACGCCTTAATTTTCATCGAATATCCGGGAAAAAAAAACAGAACACGCGCTTACAAAAGCCAGCTATGCAGGCTACCCAGAGGTAAGATAATCGTATAGTAAATGATCTCAAAATAGAGCTTTCAAATATACACGTGTCTGGGTTAGGCTTTCTCATGCGTCCGAATCACTTTTATATTAGTTGACGAGCCTATAAAGTGGATCTCGGCCGACGAAGTGAGTTTCATTTACGGTAAGGGGTTTAAACTCCACTTCTACGTAATTTTAAGGGCAGATTAATTCCCCTTAGTCTTTTATTAGGTATGTGAGATCTACGTGTAATGATGGCATTTGGTTTAGTGGTACCTGTGAAGAAGGTTTGGAATATAGATCACAGTTCCGCAGTTTAATATGTTCAAGGTTTGACCACGACCGTAAACATTGAATTCGGTGGCATTCGGCCGACATCTTTGGCCAGAAAGATGTTTAGTTCGTTCAGCTAGGAACTGTTTTCGGGCTGTTTGAAAGCCGAATGATAAAAAAACTATAAATGTTTTAATTGTGGTCAGTTAACCAATATTAATATTAAGTTTAAACGTTGACTGACTGCATTTGGAAGTCTGACCGAGTTTGGCGGAGGGACACAGGGCGGCCTGCGACAGATGATTGTAGGAAGGGCAAAAAAGCTAAAACAGGAAATCCAAACATAACCTCGATATATCACTCAAAGGGAAGCAATTGAATGACAAGCGAGAATGAAATTCCTTGTATTGTTGGGCAACTTAAATTCTTTGCAAACGAAGCGCATAATTTTCAGGCCCGAAATTTATTCCGGTACGTTAAATTGAAGCATTCATTCTGGTCTCTCTCACTTTCGGTTTCAAAAGAATTTACGGCAAGACCAGAATTGTTTCCAAGCTCGGAACCCATTTAGATGCCAAATTAAACATCAACATCGAAAACAGGAATCTGAAATGTACTTGCGACTCATAAAAAATCTACCGTCTAAAAAATTTGCCACATTGCCAATATTCTCAATCGGGAATGAGTAGTTCTGCCAACCGGTTGAAATAAGGTTGTAATTCTGTTCGTATCCCAGCAAAGCATTTGCGATTCCAGATTTTCCAAATTGTCTTTTTTTTTGTGTGAGATAACGTTTCTAAGTGGTGGTAGGATCCTATGTGATGAAATGTCCATTTCGTCGAAAGAGTGCATGAGACGTATTTGGTCTGACGCTTCTGTGGTCACGACATGATTTGCATTGCGGTCTGATAGCTGAGAATAACGCAAATTTTAAATAGCAAATATACGAACAAAATAGCTTCAAATCTGCAAAAAATTACTGTGCATCAAAAGTTAAATAATTTATCTAACGTCGTAGTGAAATCTAGGCTAAGAATATCAATATAATTTGAGAAATTACCGTGTTTTTCTCGACAATTTCTTGATTGCTTCGAGTTGATTTCAGGTAGATACGTTGCGTTGCGAAATCACGTGACAGTCGCACCAGTCTCTCCTGGGGCGTATTACGGATAAACATCTGTTTGATGCAAAACAACTTTCAATAAAAATTAATGTTGCTTTTTCAGGTTTCTGTGGAAGTTGAATAATTAACAGAAGTTAAGGTCGTCATTCTACATAATTACAGTGATTCTCTCAGATATTGGGGTAACAAAATGTTGTGAATCTACTGATGAGGAATAATTTTGGCACTTCATCGTTTTTCTAATTCACACTTAACGATAAGCCCTGTCAAGTAGTACAAAATAGATAGGAAGAACCGAAAGCGAAAGTCCTTGGTCAGCTTCTTCTATGTCAAATTACTTCTACTGCCTAACCTTGATCAATGGTTTTATAATCCTGTTTTATATGTTTGCCGTTTCAAGCGTTAGCTCTTCTCAGGATACGGAAGAAGGGCTCAGTAACGCTTCCAAAATAAGGTTAGCTTTAGAAACTCTCCACACTAACCATACAGATAAGCAACTCAGTCCGCTATAAAGTCTATAGGGGACTGAGTTGATGAATTATCCTTAATTCCCCCCCACCAACACGGCATCACGGTTTCTTTAGAAATTCTGTCGAGGCCGCATACTTTTATTTAGGGACACCGTGAAAGGAATCTAAACTATGCACAGTAGCGTTGAAATAAGCGGCGTTCTTCACTTATCTCGAATTCAGCCATTGAAAATGCACATCACTAGATCCATGCACCTTTTGGGTTGTTTTCTTGAGTTTTTACTTCTCTTTGAGTGAAAACTCTCTTTTACGCAAAAACGTGTGTTACATAGGTGTAGTCTCACAGAAGCGGTCAGATTTGTGAAAAAGCAAGCAAGCAGGACAGTGAGGACGTAACGAGGAGGGAGGGGGAGGGGGGAGAGGGAGAGAGGAAGGGAAGGTGGGATGAAGAATGGAGCAAGCAAGCAGGACAGTGAGGACGTAACGAGGAGGGGGGAGAGGGAGAGAGGAAGGGAAGGTGGGATGAAGAATGGAGCAAGCAAGCAGGACAGTGAGGACGTAACGAGGAGGGAGGGGGAGGGGG